CCCCAAAACCCCAAAACCCCAAAACCCCATGATGAAGAATTTAGCATCTAAGCATATCTCATTTACATATATTTTAATTGACGAATTAAATATAATTTTCTATCGATAAGATTACTTTTAATGGAGAGAAGCAGTTCCTTAGCCTCAATATCAATAAATTTAAAGCCCTTGAAATTATCATCGGATCATTTTTTAACATCAAGAAAAAAGATTAAACTCTTATCAAATGAAGGATTACCTTTTACTTAACTAAAAGAAAAGAAAACTGATTTTTAGAGCCTGAATAAGCCACCACTTTTACCTCCAAATACTAAGCAATTAATGGACCATTATGCGAATCATAATTAATTTCTAAAAACATTCTCCTCTCCTTTTGAAACAGATCCCATACTTATAAGAAAACCCAAAAATATTCAAATTTAGTCTCTTGCAATCCTTACTTAGAAACCAAAAGAGGAGCTAACTATTGATGAGAGATTTAACTATGTCATGAGAGAGGATACTCCAAAAGACATAAAGAAAAGGCTTAAAGAGGAAAGAAGGAAAGATAATAAGCTCAACTTTTGTTCAGTAAAAGATGTTTTAGTCAAAGAGCCAATTAACTAAGTTCTATCCATTAATAATTGGGAGAGATCAAGATCAGTTTAAAAGAAAAAACCTACTGTTAACTAATAACCACTAAAGCCAATGCAATTGCTTCCAATGGATCCAGGCATTTAGAATATGCCGTAACCAAAAAAGGCAAAAGTTAGAGAGAGGAACAGACTTCTTTCTTCAGATCCTATGTCAAGTCAAATAACTTAGATGACTTTCAATCTTAGATTCATTGAATAATTGTACAATGAACTAGAAAAGTTTAAAGCTATATCCTTTATAAATGATAAGACTCTAATGGATAATATGCTTGTTAAGAATGCATCCAAAAAGCTTGAGAGCATACTTAGGCATAAGTAAGAATAAATGTAAAGATCTCCATCAGTCTAATCTACTCCAAAAGAAACATACGATATGGCAGAGCAAAAGAGAATCACAGATGAGAAAGAGAGATTAGCTAATTTAGAAGTGTTTTTGGAATATAAAAAGCAAAAGATCTTAGAATAGTTCACTTAGCTGAAATCTGAATAATCTGGTATTAGAAAAAGTAATGCACAAATTTAAAAAGATTATCATGAAGGACTTCCGGTAAGATTTAATCAGGATTTTAAACTTTTATAGAGACTTGAAGCATTGCTAAATGATTAAAAAGAATTGAAACAAAAGATTCATCACTACGATCAGCTGAATCCTGTCTAAAGGTAAAGGCCCCAATTAATGATTCAAAATGATAGCAACACGAATGCTTACAAAGAAGTTTCTGAAAAAATCGAGAGATTAAAGTATAAGCTTGAAAACAACTAAGTCTAGTAACAGTTAAATCTAACTAGAAAGGAGCAAATTAAAAATTAGATTAAAGAAACTAAGAATCTTTTGAGCTTATTAATTGAGGAATAGGTGAAGCACTATTAGGGCTTATTAAGAGAAGGAATTGATTGCAGAGAGTTTGGTCTTTCATGGCTAATTAAAAGTTTATGGTTGCTGGAGCAAGAAGTATCACCGTTGATATTCCCTGTGTTCTTAGACAAGCAATCTATTGAATACCTCTTCATTGTATGTACATTTCATAACTTATTCTTTTAGTGTGCACAATAGGAAATAGAAAACGAGGAATTATTGAAAAGAATTAAGAAACTAAGAGATGAAAAGCACAAGCTTTAGCACACAAATGATAATTCAATATCTTAAACTTTGATTAAAGAACTAGAAAAATCATAGCACTAGAATACTTTGAAAGTCCTGCCTGTTATTGAATCTAAAAGAGACATGATTGAGAGTATGTTTACAGATAGAGAAAGACATTTATCACTCGTTTATTCTAAGGATATTATTATGGATAACACTAGAAACAAACTTGAGACAATGTGCTCTACAAGCAGAGTTATTTAAAAGAAAGAAAAAGATATCACAAAGCAAAATGCAAATACTTTCTTCAACGAATTAATGGAGTCAACACTAGGCTCTAGTCCGATTGCAAAGAAAAGTTAAATGAATATAGAGGGGGCTCTGGAAATGAAGCAACTTGGAGCAATTGGTATATTGAGATTAAGAATCAGCGAAAAGAGACTTAATGATGCTGAGTAGTCTTTGCAGGTAGGAAAAGATAAGTTTAAACAATTGAGATAATAAGAATTGGAAAGAGTCAAAAGAGAATTTAAGTTGCACAACTTTGGGGAAAGATTCTAATGCAATTTTAATATGGTATCTAGGGCTTTATTTGGGGAACTTGAGAAATTTAAACTCTGATTAATTTCATTTCTTAAATAATATAATTTATTTACACACTTGGGGTTTTGGGGTTTTGGGG